TTTGTTACCAGCAATTATCTGATGTTTTAAAACCATGATTAGTGGTCCAGTCGATGTCGGCAAATACCAAGAATCGAAAAAAATGTCGAGATTTCATATTTTTGTGACAAAATTGATATAATAAAGTTCTCTAAATTTTCAATGAATTAAACAGAGTTCTTCTTGATTTTGAAAATTATCAGTTTGCCTATATATATATATATATATATATATAAAATAAAGAACGAAAAACAATGCGAAATTCTAAGAAGAACTCAGTGGATGCGACCCTATGAGTACATACAGTATATGCCTCTCGCCAATGTAAGAAAACTAAAATTGATTTCATTCAAAGCGTTAGATTCATGAATAAAATAAAATATAAGTTAAAAAAGAGGTTAGAGCATATTAATAATTTCGATCTTGAAATGATATTATTTCTTGTAGTCTGTCAACAAATAATAATGGGTGTAGGCTGAGGGCAGGAGTCACTATTGCAGTAATAAATATACACTGGTCTGATTGGTCAAATGTGATACATTTATGAATGAAATTTTATGAAGGAAAGTGGTACAGCTGTAGTTCCAAAATTTCTCACTAGATATCATCATGGCTCAAATCACACACACTTAGAGATAACAGTATAGACGACACACGACTGAGTCATTTGAGTCAAAAACAAAAGCATTGTTTTAAGCCAAAGATACTTCAAGGATTAAACAGAAACGTTTATTTATATAACTGATCATTACAACAGGTTTCATTCAATATTTCAAAACAATATTCTTTGTTTGCTATTGCAGTAATGAACAAGCAGCATTCTAATTAGTCAGCTTTGAGATATTTTAAGAATGCAATTTTATGAATGAAAGTAATAGTTCCAAAAATGATAACAACATAAAACAAACGACTTCAGTCATTTGTGTCAAAAATAGCACAGAATGATAGGCAAGATTATACAAAAACACACAAGTGAACATAAATGTAGCAAGTAAAATGAATTAAACTGCATCATACAGCTGTTTCATCCACGATTTGTCAGTGATGCTAAGGGCCTAAATTTTTAAGCTTAGGAGGCATCTGAGGAAAATAAAAAATGATTGCAAATAAGACCCACCAGGATCCTACATCACTAATCTGGCTAATTCAACTATTCAGACAAAACATTTCACAAGTGACAGATAATTTCTAAAAAAAATATCCTACTGGGTCTCTTCCTTGTCAGAAGTCAGATTCACTAGGTATTCATATATATTGGATAATATTCTTGCACATAAGGATTTTTAAGAACTTGCATTTTCCAGAATGGGCCTAATCCCTCCCGCCCGAGAAGGCTGAGACCCATCAACAATACAAAATTGATTACCCTTCACTCAAGAATGCTTTAGACCAAATTTGGGCAAAATCCAATCATTCATACAGGAGAAGTAGGATTTTAAAAAAATATGCTAGATTTCCTCTATTGGGCCTTGCCACTCCCTCCCAAGAGGGCCATGACCCACTGTTTACACAAGATTAATTTCTCTTCACCAAAAGGTGCTACAAGAGGAGTAGGATTTTAAAGAGTTGACCCTACTTCCTCTATTGGGCACTGCCCCTCCCTCCCAAGGGGGCACAGACCTAACTTTTATACAAGATTGATTCCCCTTTACCCAAGAATGCTTCAGACAAAACTTTGGCACTATCCATACAGGAGGAGTAGAATTTTTAAAAACTTACAAAATTTTCCAATTTGGGCCCTGCCCCTTGGGCACCTGGAAGCCAAGAACAATAGTTATACAAGCATAACCCTTCCCCAAGGATGCTTCTGCTCATAATCAGTTAAAATCAGATGTGTCGTTCATAACTAGTGGCGATTTTATTAAAAAGTTAACAATGTACAACGGACCATGGATTATGTGCTATGACATAAGCTCTCTAGTCCTTTGGACCATGTGAGACAGAAATATCACAATCCAGGCGGAATGGTGCACTAGCCCGATAATTGAACTTATGTTGCATTTTTCATATAGCTTTTAATTATTGAAGAATATCAAGTCTATGTGTATATATGTGAGTCAAACAATGAATAAAACTGCATCATACAGCTATTTCTTCCGGTTTCTTCTTTTGTACATCTAAATGATTCATATAGTAGTACTTGAGTGAATGTATCTAACAAGCACGGAGACAGTGTGATAATGAAAATGAGTTTCCCTACCATGAAAACAGGAAATACTTAATTTTATTGTTTATAAATGTTTGCTGTTCATAGAAACATCACATGTTTCAGCTAGTTGCATCTAACAACTATATTGTAGATGCGATATCACAAAATGTATTATCCAATTATCTGTTTCCACAAAGGTGGCGAGATGTATTCAAAGGGGGTGGGATTCTTGAAGATGTGAAATGTGGAACTGAGGATAATACATACCAAGCTGTTTTGACTGGATGTCATTTTCTCTCAGCGCTGGTATGTATGTCATAGACATCATAAAATGAGATATTTGGGGATAATATTTGTATGTTTTGTCCAGAATCAAAGGATAAGTTAGGCATGGCAGTTGCTTATTCTAGTGATCACTCAGTAAAAGTTGTAGTAACATTTTAATACAGATGGTCGCTAAGTTCAGGTTGTAAAGGTAGAGGTGGTCACTTAAATACAGTTGGTCACATAGTAAAGGTTGTTCAATACAGGTGATCACTTAGTAAATGTAATTTAATACAGGTGATCACTTAGTAGATGTAATTTAATACAGGTGATCACTTAGTAAATGTGATTAAATACAGGTGATCACTTAGTAAATGTAGTTAAATACAGGTGATCACTAGTAATTGTAGCTAAATACATGTGATTACTTAGTAAATCTGATTAAATACATGTGATTACTTAGTAAATGTGATTAAATACAGGTGATCACTTAGTAAATGTGATTAAATACAGGTGATCACTTAGTAGATGTAGTTAAATACAGGTGATTACTTAGTAAATCTGATTAAATACATGTGATTGCTTAGTAAATGTGATTAAATACAGGTGATCACTTAGTTGATGTAATTAAATACAGGTGATCACTTAGTAAATGTGATTAAATACAGGTGATCACTAGTAAATGTGATTAAAACAGGTGATCACTTAGTATATGTAATTAAAAACAGGTGATCACTTAGTAAATGTGATTAAATATAGGTAACCACTTAGTATAAGTAATTTGATACAGGTGATCACTAATAAATGTGATTACATACAGGTGATCACTAGTAAATGTGATTACATACAGGTGATCACTAGTATATGTAATTAAATACAGGTGATCACTTAGTATATGTAATAAAATACAGGTGATCACTAGTAAATGTGATTAAAACAGGTGATCACTAAGTATATGTAATTAAAAACAGGTGATCACTTAGTAAATGTGATTAAATACAGGTGATCACTTAGTATATGTAATTAAATACAGGTGATCACTTAGTATATGTAATTAAATACAGGTGATCACTAGTAAATGTGATTAAATACAGGTGATCACTTAGTATATGTAATTAAATACAGGTGATCACTTAGTAAATGTGATTAAAAACAGGTTATCACTTAGTAAATGTAATTAAATACAGGTGATCACTTAGTAGATGTAATTAAATACAGGTGATCACTTAGTAAATGTGATTAAATACAGGTGATCACTTAGTAAATGTGATGAAATACAGGTGATCACTTAGTAAATGTAGTTAAATACAGGTGATCACTAGTAAATGTGATTAAATACAGGTGATCACAAATAAATGTAATTAAATACAGGTGATCACTAGTAGATGTAATTAAATACAGGTGATCACTAGTAAATGTGATTAAAAACAGGTGATCACTAGTATATGTAATTAAATACAGATGATCACTAGTAGATGTGATTAAATACAGGTGATCACTAAGTATATGTAATTAAAAACAGGTGATCACTTAGCAAATGTGATTAAATACAGGTGATCACTTAGTATATGTAATTAAATACAGGTGATCACTTAGTATATGTAATTAAATACAGGTGATCACTAGTAAATGTGATTAAAAACAGGTGATCACTTAGTATATGTAATTAAATACAGGTGATCACTTAGTAAATGTGATTAAAAACAGGTTATCACTTAGTAAATTTAATTTAATACAGGTGATCACTAGTAAATGTAGTTAAATACAGGTGATCACTTAGTAAATGTGATTAAATACAGGTGATCACTTAGTAAATGTAATTAAATACAGGTGATCACTTAGTAAATGTAGTTAAATACAGGTGATCACTTAGTAAATGTAATGTGATTAAATACAGGTGATCACAAATAAATGTAATTAAATACAGGCGATCACTAGTATATGTAATTAAATACAGGTGATCACTAGTAAATGTGATTAAAAACAGGTGATCACTAGTATATGTAATTAAATACAGATGATCACTAGTAGATGTGATTAAATACAGGTGATCACTTAGTATATGTAATTAAATACAGGTGATCACTTAGTATATGTAATTAAATACAGGTGATCACTTGTAAATGTAGTTAAATACATGTGATTAATTAGTAAATGTGATTAAATACAGGTGATCACTTAGTAAATGTGATTAAATACAGGTGATCACTTAGTTGATGTAATTAAATACAGGTGATCACTTAGTATATGTAATTAAATACAGGTGATCACTTAGAGAATGTTAAAGTAAAAAAAGTTGGTGACATAGTCAATGTTTTAATTAGTGCAAACAGTATTTTCGGTGAACTTATAGGTAAGTCAATGTATGTAAGTGTTAATGAACGTAAATTCAAATAATCTTTCTAATGGCTTTATTCTAATTGATGGGAAACCCGAACATAAAAATAACTTGTATTTAGCATCATTAGTTTATATTGGTGGTGTGCAATGCTAATGTAAATAAAATGTTTTGATGGCATAATTTGGCTGTGTGATAAATATTTTCTCACCATAGATTTCAGTAAATTTCCCCCAATTTCAGATGATGTTTTGTTTTAGGTTTGTTGGCATGGCGACCAAAGATGAGAAAGACAGTTTGGACCTTAATGCAAAGATAGAGGATACAGACATTTTAACAAATTTCAGAAATAATGGTGAAAAAGTAGATGCAGTGCAATTGTGTAGTAAAATACTAGGTATAGTTACTGAAGCAGATGAAGTTTCTGAGGACATAAAACTACTAGGAAGTACAGGGGAAGGAGTTTCCAGAGACAGTGATGTTGATAGTATGTTTGTATTTAGAAACTGCCATGTGTACGAACGCTACATCACGACCAACCCCAAAGCAGGGTGGCTATTTCAGATGCAATCTTGCACTACTAATTCTGGATATGTTAAGCTCCGTGTGAAACAGCAAGGAAATATCCAAACCTGGAGGCCACATGGTTATGATTTTACCCAAGTAGTGCAGTATGATGAAACATCAGACTGTTATTATTTCGCCAATAATTTGCTTTCATGTTTGCACAATCTCGTAAAGAAGAAGAAGGAAATAGTTGGGTTAAATTTAATTACTTCAGGTCCATGCTTGACCGTGTTAGATTACGAACGAGACATGGATATGACTATGGGAATGAAGTGTCCTGAATGGCCGTCAGTGGCTGCTGAATGGATATCGCGAGACAGATCCAAAAGATGGCCATCAAGAGGATTCATAGATCAACAAGTTATGCGTGGTTGTTACCTGGTTCCAGTTGGATGTAAGGAATGCAAACAAACACATCTAGACTGGAGAATTTCATTTGTGCATGTAGAACAAGAACTAGTCCGCATAATGAATGAAAACCAAATCAAATGCTACATTATTCTGAAACAGCTGAAGAAATTTTTTTTCAAGGTCAAAATTCCAGAAGTTATAACTTCCTACGTCATCAAGACAATACTGTTCTGGACTGTAGAAGAATCATCTCCAGAACTTTGGCAACCCCACCAACTTCTTACAGTGGTGCAATTGTGTTTGGACAAGTTAATCACATTTGTACAGGATGGCTTCTGCCCACATTACTTCATCAGGACATGTAACTTGCTCGTCCGAAGATGTTCTCCCGAGAATAGGAGTATTGTCTTACAAACATGTTTGGAAGCCAGACGAAATCCAATGAAAATACTCCGTCAAACCCCTCTGTATGTAAATGCCATACCTGGACAGCACCAGAAATCTGATTTGCAGGATTCTTTGGACATAATACTTCTTTCAGAACAAATTCAACGCAGCTTACAAGAGACGCTATCAAACACGGACACAGAAAAAAAGTTAGAAGAGTATTGCATATATGTTATAGAGCAGATTGATTATTTGTCTTATAACAATAAAGGAAGACGTAGACAGGTGATTCAGAAATTTCAGAAGGTCATACACAATGTCACAGAACGATTACTCCAGATATGTTCTCTGGGCCAGGCACACCAGAAGGAACTCCTTGATATCAAAGCAAATTGCAACGATGAAGAGGATGTGAATGACATCGCAAACACCTGTCACTTACTTATGGTGACTGAAAACTACACCAGGTGTCATAATATACTTGGAAAGTTTGTCAAAGCTCAAAAGCACAAAGGTTATAGTAGGTTACTGAGTATTTCAGGAAAGGATATAAACGACAAGAACTTGAACAACATTTTGATGAACAAAATTACCCATGACATTTGTGGAGAGATACCACGTATCTCAGATTTAATATTCCTGCAATTAGAAGAGAACATTCTTCCTACCCCACTTCAAACTGAGTTCTGTCCGATAATGAGTGGTAATACAGAAGTTGACACACTGCCCAGAATCAGAAAAACCATCACTGTAGATCCACTTGTGTATGCGTGTTTCCTGAGGTTCTGGTGCAGTGTGAAGATGGACCAAAACATTCAAAAGCTCATGGCCCGGGACGATATGGTGTGGTGCTGTGGTCTGAGTTCCATATCGCAGAAATCAGTTGCCCTGAACCTACTGGCATTCTGCCATTCTCAGCTAGAGGAGTATGAAGAAGCATTTGCAGTACTTTGTCAGGCGTTCAGAGAGAAACCAGTAAACTGTTCCACTCTGGTTCATATTGCAAATCTGGTAAATAATAAAATAAGAGAGGTCTTTTGATTTTGAAATGGCATAGTTTTCTAACATTGACAATGAGGACAACAATGGTTGTATGGGCACTGCCATGATATAAACTAATAAGGAAGAAGTGTGGTTAAAATTACTGCTTATGACCAGTCATGTGACAATTATGATGTCATTATGATGCTTTCCTATGATTCATAGTTGTTATAAATGGCACAAGAAGACAGTTCTGTACTTCATATGATAATGAAATAAATGCTTACATCTATTGAATCCAATCTTGATATACACATTTTCAAAATTGTAGAACCATGTCCACCATCATGCTAATTCAAGGACTTCTTGTGTACAAAGTAGGTCATGTGATCAGCAACATTTAAATCTGGACATATATTTTAATTACTGATTTAAGTAATGGACAGTGATGCCTAACCGATGTGGCACGACTCTAGAGAGCGATAAATTTTATAAATCTCATATAAATAATTAAGATACTTCAGCAAACATCTGTGAAAACAAAATAAGCAATATTCTTTATCTTGCTACATATCTGTCTTTGGTGATGCCATCATGGATATAACGTTATGAAATTTAGGTCGTTAATGGGTAGTAAAATAATGTGACCTTCAGCAAATCACAACCAGCCAGATCCTTTTACATGTCAAAATTTATTAGCAAAAATATGTAGTTGGTATTATTACAATGATTACAGGGTGGTTATATAAAAAAATGTATTTGTTACATGTGATGTGTTTGCACCATGTACAGAAGCATATATACATCTCTGCTATATGTTTATAAAAATCAACTATATTCTGCTATCTCATGAGAAGTCCGTATGTTGAACAGTTCGTTGGCATATGGATGTACAATATCATACATAATGAAGTAATTTATAATGGTTGTTTTAATGACTAAGCTACGAAAGAAAAAATCTGCATGCATCATTAAGCCATTGTTATGTGTAGATTATAGTGTTTTTCAAACACAATATTGCAGTGCTAATGGCAGGACAGGACTAATCAGTAATTTGGCTGTTTAATAAAAGTGACACCACCATCTTGCCACTACATTTCCTAATATTGAGTTGTTGAGGCACTTAAGGGTATAAATTGCTGAGCAATATCTGTGATCTTAGCTCTTTCTTCTCTTTACTGATAAATGAAAACATATCAGTGAAAGTTCAAACTGACAGCTGTAGTTTTGCCACATGATTGCTAAAGTAAACGAGAGTAACAGTGAAACTGGTAATTGCTCTCGGAAAAAGACTTTATCTGACATAAAATTTCAACAAAATTGCAATAACTCTATAATCTTAATCAGATAATATATGTGTGGGGTTTTTTTATCAACTGATGCAAGTTAGCATACATGTGAGCTGTGTGATGTCTGAATGAATATGTTATGTTATGAATGTAATCAATACCATATATTGCTGAAAATTCTCAATAAAAAAGAAAAGTACAAAAAAAAACCCCAAAAAATCTATAATCAATATGGAACACGTAGTATGACCAATATATCCACCAAGTTTTATCATCCTAGTTTAAATGAAGGCAAAGTTATGCTATAACCATGAAATTTTAACAAAGATGACTGCTGACTACCTCTGTAACTGGGGGTTGCGAACACTGTATTTGGGGCAATGCACATCCTCTTAGTACATCAAGTATCATTATCCTAGTTTTAATGCAAATTTATATTCAAGATGAAATTTTAACACAGATCAATAACTTGTAATTGAAGGATTGAGGGCCCTTAATTTGGTACACTGCACATCGTCTTAGTATGACTAATAGTATACAATAAGTTTCATGATCCTTGCTTAACTCTGGGCAAATTATGCTCAGGACAAGAAAGGATAGATGGACAATGTGGTGACTACATACTCCCCATGAACATTTTCAAGGAGCATAATCATGATGGAAAGTTGAGCATATGTTTGTCAAAGGCATCTCTTTGTGCATTCTATTCAGATTTGCTGACAATCAGAATGGTTTGTGGAATAAGTGATAATCTCCTCTTTTGTGCTTTAGTTTCAAATACCATGAACGTTAGATAATACACTCTGAATTTATTATCCCCCACTTTCACCGAAACAGGGGATATTAATTTGGGTTTGTCCACCCATCCGTCTGTCACACTTTCGTTTCTGTGTTGTAACTTCCCCAAATATCATCCAATTTCGGTGAAACTTGGTCAGCAGATGCATATTAAGACACATAAGATTGAGTTCAGCAATCAGCATCATCTGTTAATATCTATGCATACTAATTAGGTATCCTTTCATTTCATTGGTCGGTCAGTTTTTGGGCTCTAACTTTCCTAAATATAATAACCTCTAAAATATTTACTTACAATATGTTTGGAAAGTGGGGGATATAAATTCTGTGAATTTGCTTGTTATAAATAAGATACCGTGTATGTGTTTTTTTTTAATTATCATGATCATTACTACATATGCATGTATATATGTTATATATAATATCATATGTATCACCTTATGAACAATATGTCTGTTGGTTTTTGGCTGAAAATAGGCATGTACAGAATTTTATCAATAATGATAAAACAGAAAATTCTCTCTCTGTTGATCAACAGTCTGGATATATACATTTTTTAGTCAAATATGATAAAGCTTTCAAAGAACACATGTCATCTACAAACAGGTAAAAATGTAGTCCTGCATAAATAAGCTACAGTAGAAAAACAAGTTAAACCTCCTGGAATTGATGCATTGGTAAAATGATATAAAGATCAAGAATTGGATCTCTTTGTAAGAAAATATAAGAGTCTAGTAATTTCTTATATATCTATTAAAAGATAATTGATTGTAATCTTGTGACAATGAAATTGGTGCATTAGTCAATTTGCATGAAGTACAATGGAATCACAAGGCATGTTAATGAGCATCAAATATGTCCAACTTCATATTGCAAAAGAAAATTTTTAAATTCTCAACGAAATAATTACAAGTTACTGTAAAACTGCATCAGCCTGCATCTCTGGAAGCTTGCTGTGAATTTGATTGTATAAAAATTATGACACCTGAGACAATACCTTGAACATCAATTTCCATCAATCACTAGATTGTCTCTTTAATCTATGCTGTAAGTGATTCTAGTTATTATTGTTTAAATGTACATTAGTTGTCCAGGTTTATAATTAATGAATGGAAGGGAGATAACTCCCACTGACACTAATAACTATTTCTCCACAAAATTTACTTTGGCATTAGTTAGGAAATATCTTCTAAACTGAGTTATTGTCTTACAAACTTTAATTGTTATTGAATGTTGTGGTTAAAATTTACGATTTTATTTACAATACAAGTTATATTAAAATATTTACAACAGTACAACTTATTTCAGTATGATTTTGTAAACATTTTCACAAAGCAATGGTCAATATTGTTTTTAAGTTTTAGTCATTCGACAAGCATCCAGCTTATCAGAATGGGATTTTTTTTTTTTTTTAAAAAGCAGAGATATATTTCAAGGCAAGATGACCTTTCAGTAATAATGATGTCACAAGAGACAAAACATTTCAAAGTAAGGTATCAAAGTATAATCTTACTGGGATAGTTTCATGTCTGCAACACTTCATCTGATGTTGGAAAAATTCTGTTGAAGGACATTTGTGTGAATATTTTTCATAATGATGAAAAGAAGCAAATGCCCAATGCTTTTTTGTAATAAAATATGTTTCCCTGGTAGTTGTAACCATGTGTTAAATGTATATTGCACATTGATGATATCACACATTATCAGCTACCATCAGTTCTTGTCAGATATTTTTTATTATAGCATTGGAAGCATGACATACCTACATATTATGTTACTTACATACACATTTCTATATTTTGCAATAAAGTTGTCACCTTGAGATGTGGCCATTTTTAATCAATAGTCTTTTTGTTTTTCTCTATCTTAACTATATCTAAATGGAACACACAACTGTTTGTTTATCTGAACTTCCATCTGTGAAAACCCTAATAAGATAAACTCAAAATTGAACAGCACATTTCAATATAATATACTAGATACAGTAGTGCCAATTCATGACTATAAATGCATAATATAGTTGTTTCATCCTTCAAGGATGCATCAGTGATGCTAATGTTGAATTCGTAGAGGCGACTGAGTAAGTCTTACATGTCAAAAACATGTACTTGTTACAAGTATCTTGAGATTATCTAACTGGATCATCTGATATGTTTGATGTGAAGTGTTATATTAGTGATTTATCTTTTGTAGATTTCTAAACTAAGCAAGAGATCCCAGAGAGATCTTGGCACCCACCATTGTTTGGTATTTTTATGTTCTTCAGAAGTTGAAATTTCCCCCTTTTTTCCTGGTTTTGCTCTTCATTATATAAAATTTCAACATTTCTCTCAAGGTATAACAATAATCATCTTTCACATTCATATCAACTTGTCACCAATTGTTTTTGGGCCTATCCAAAAATGAAATAGGCACAACTGTGGACCAAGGGGAACCTACATATAAAATATTGATGACAAAATTTCATTGCTGATATCCAAGATGGCCACCTGTTGGCAATTTGGTTTTTTCTGGTCAATCACAAAATAAAACAAATACAACTAAAATCCAAAATGACAGCCTGTCAGCCATTTTATTTTTCTGATCAGTCCCAAAATCAAATGGGCATAACTATGGACCAATAGGAACTTGCATATGAAATTTGAGAAAGATCCATCAAAAACTTTTCCTAGGTATAGTGATAACAAACTTTCATAGTCAAAATCCAAGACAGAAGCCTGTCAGCCATTTTGTTCTTCTGGTCATTCCCAAAATAAAACAGGTACAACTAAGGACCAACAGGAACCTACATGTCAAATTTAAGAAAGATCCTTCCAGTACTTCTCATGCAACAGCGATAACAAACTTTCATTTTCAAATTCCAAGATGCTTGCCTGTCAACCAGTTATTTTTCTGATCAGTCCTAAATCTGTGACAAAATGAAACCAACATATGAAATTTGAGAAAGCTCCATCCAGTGTTTTCCCAGAAACTTTGACAACAATTATTCATTGTTAAAATCTGATAATTAAAGGCTATATCTGTCAGCCATTTTTCTTCCCTTTTTTTATCAGTCCCAAAATCACATATATGAAATTTGAAAACAATCCATCCAGCACTTATCAAGAAAAGGCAGTAACTAATTTTTATTGTCAAAACCAAAGATAGCAGCCTGTCAGCCTGATGAAATTTGAAAGTGAATGAAACCTATATGTCAAGTTTTAAGGTCAAACTGAGTGCCAAGTTATACATTTCAGGTTAAAAAAGATCTCATTTCATGATAAAAAAATATATACAAAGACCAGTGGATGCATTTTCTAGATGTTGGTGTCTGAACCAGCATTTGTACCTGTCTGGAGAAAGCTAATCAATTAGCCATTGTTGACTCTGCCTTGGACTAGATACATAATATAGGACCTCAAAAGAGGGACATGGCCGAGGGTATGTGCAACAGTAAAAACTCATGAATTTTCATTCTGCAAATGTAATCTCTCCCCTGAAGAACAATCTATGGTTGAGATTATATATATATATATAAAAAGACAATAAAATAATCATTATAATAACACTAATAAACATGTGATTATCATTATGTCTTTTCCCATTTACATGTTTGAAACAAAACCTAAGGAATATTTCGTAATTTTATATTTTCAACTCTAATCAAGCAAATCTAGAAATGACAACTCTGTCCGACACCTCTGACATTATGCAATTTACAGGTCTGCATGAGGATGCAGAAAACTTTGTTTACACTTTGGCAGGGTTGCAATACAGACGGAAGAACAAGCTAGTGTTCTATAAACAGTGAAAAGAGGATGGTGTTCACTGGCCAGTATATAACAGAAAAAGATTCATACTAAAATATTCAGACAACATCCACAGCGTTATTTTTGTTACTGATTACTCATTAGGAAAACATATGTACGGACCTGTAAGTTGCGTGATGTCCCATGGCGTTGGACAAGAAAAAATATCTGTGTCATGCAAACTGTAACACAAGTTCTATATTGGCCAGCTAGCACTGCAACACATTGTCATGTGTCCTGGTAAATTATTTCACTTTTTATGGTATTTAGCGTAATTTTAGATTTTATACATATTGAGTGTGTAATAAGTTTCGGTACTACATGTTTTGGCCGCTATGCGACATCTAAGGTGTAGAAATGCGATGCAAGTTACATTATGACGTGGTAGTAAAGTTGACGTTGAAACAATTATTATAGTTTTAAAGTTCCTATTTGTAATTTGTATTTGAAGAAATTGACCAAAGATCACAACCATTAGAAGAGATATAGGATGGCTTCTAGTCAATCTACCGCTGATAATGATACTGTCAGCTCATACAATTATATTAGCATACCGGTGACAGGCCGACTTATATAACTGATAACATCTGACGTTGACACATCATCCCGCTATTTCGGGAGATGTATAAGCTAAAGAGGGAATGATGACCAGTCAATAAATTACCAAGGTATCCAAAAAATTAAATATGTTTATATTAATCTTTTATCTCATGTAAAAAAAATGGTGATGTGAATATTTTACCTGTGTTATCATGGGCGCAGACATCTTGCTCACTTTCGGAACCCCTCACGTATAGGTAATTCCGAACGAAATTGAGGCCCAATGTGCCTGCACTTTTGCTATTTTTAGTTCTGATAGTGATTGAGATTGTTTAGGCATGATTGTTGGTTATGCTGCTTAAATTCGTGTTCAAGCATCTTTGATTTTTTTTCTAATTATTGTGTATGAGCATTTTGATTTATAAAATGTATTATCACAACCTAATGAACTGAAACAAAGTCAGTTACATTGCTTAGGTAAGAAGAAGAAAAAGAAGAAAAATACAGTTTGAAACCAAAATAAGTTAACACAGTTTACCAAAGGATTCAGTCCAAAAATGGAGACTTCACAGTTGTCCAGTCATTTTATCTGAAAACATAGCCCTGACCCTGAACTAATTACTTGCAATATAATTTAGTTTTTCATCTGCAATAAAAATTGGAAAATAAAACTTTCCGATGAAAATACAAAAATAAAGAAAATCACATCTTTGACCACTTTTGAAGTGTAATATATGATAGGAAGACCAATGGAAATACGGTACAGATTCTCCAAAATATTGTGTACAGCTGAATTAGCAAAAATGGTTTTAAAAGCTTTTGAACTTGAATATATTGTTTTTGTAATGTTTTCCAATGTAGAAAATACTATATTGTTCATGTATTTACATACAATTGTAACCTCATTAACAATAGGAATTTATATGTAGCCTCTTAATACTAATTATCTTAATCGGTTCATATAATATCAATACATGTAGCAATGACAAGCGATATATAGTACATTCACATACAAAAATACTAAGCATCAAATTTGGTCTATTGTGCTTATCTATTTTGGATCCAAGCCGAACAATAAATCTAACTCTGTAATCAGTAAATCAATGTTTACAAGCATTTTAAATCTATTTGTGTATATGTACCTATTGGTAATGCTAACTTTGGTCAGATGAGTTTACAAATGTGACCAAGCTTTTATGGCAGAACCTTAATTTCTGCAATCTTGCCTCAACACCAAAAAAATTACTAATGATCCATGATTCTGAAAAACAAAATTCTATATATTTTACAAAGGTTATGTCTGATTTACTGGCAATTTTGCCAGTAAAGTAATTATAAAAAGGATGTTTTTATGAAATAGGTTTGAAATCAAATATTCATGCAACTCCGTGCATTAATTGAAAATTACATATCCCCCCACCCCACCCAACCCATCCCCCCCCCAATTCTGTAGTATTGAGTGACAGAAAAAAATAATTAATTTAAATGTTTCACCTTATTCCCCATAATCAAGAGGACTATTATCAGTATGATAGCAATTCCTACCAAAAGATTTAGTAACCAAACCCGCATGAACACACAAACATATTTACATTTCCATTGTTCAAAATCACGGATTAGGATTTGTAATCTGACTATGTTAATTATTTGTAGATATCCTAACCAAGACAGTATTTCTGCTAATAATAAGCAACTTGCATAAAAAACAATTAAATGCACTTTCAAGAATTTACTGATGATGTTTAAAATCTTAAAACCATATACTGAAACAATGTTGTATTTAGGCTTTAAAACAACTCATAATCAGGTAGACAAACCAACTTTGAACACTGATAAATTCTATTCTAAGTAATATCTCTCATTTATGAACCTTACGCAAATCATATTTAAATGCATTTCTACAAAGTCAATATCAATATTGATTATTCTGACTTGCGAATGCAACCATAGAGTTAATATGTGCCACATTTTAATATAATTAGTGATATTCACAGTGTGATGTTTTTCAATGTGATGGTTCCAATGTTTACACTGACTGGTCTTGAAATGCAGTTACATGTAATTTCTGCCATTAAGTTTTACACAAGAGATTACTGTAACATTTCAAATTTGGTCCAGATTATTCAAGTTTCCTTTAATCTGCTTTGGGTGATTAACATCTTCCTCAAGGTAGACTTTTAGGAACATTTTTTTCTGGTACAATGTTGATATTTAACAACTACACATTGGTAATTTTACCTGCAAAGACTCAATTGTATTGTAAACCCTTCGTTTTTCAAACGGGTGTATGATTTTGTTGTAAAACCATTATCTAGTTTATACTCAGATGTACACAACCCAATTGTTGTTATTTTGAAATATGGTACTCCCGATACGACCACCATTACCGAAAATATCATGCCACAAAGGGAACATTTAAATGAAGTTCTGACAAAATGGAATGAAATTTGATAAGGATACCTTTGTAAACAATATCATGGCAAGAAATGATGATATTAAGGTTATTAGCAGTGTTGACAATACTTTTATTACAAGAGTAATAGGTGATCTTTGTTCAATCATCCTTGACTCAGCTAAATTAAGTTTTGGTACTAAGCCGCCTACAGACAACCCAAATAGGGCGACCTCAATTTTTGTTTTTAAAAAACCATGGTTTACGCGTGATTGTAAAAGCGCAAGGCAAAACTTTAGAAAAGCTAAACGCCTTTTTAAAAGATATGGCGGTAACATTTTAAAAGAGGGCCTTATATCACAAGAAAAAAGATATAAACAAATATTACATTAAAGTGAAAAAGAACAGAATTATGATGAGAAGAAAATTTAAAAAACTAAGGAGTAATGACCCAAAAGAATATTGGAAAATACTTAATTGTAATGGAGCATACAAACTTAGTGCAGCAAATACTGACACATTTTACGAGTTTTTCAAAAACCTTAACCCTGATTAGAATGAAACTATTCCAGACTATGTTTTGTCTGTTGTTGAACTGAATATTCAATGCCATGACAATACTCATCATATTATAAATCACAGAATTGTTCCTGAAGAAATAATATCAGCTGTCAGATCATTGAAAACTAATAAGTCAAGTGGCAATGATCATATTGTAAATGAATATATTAAATCAACTTCAAATATTTTATTACCTGTTTATGTAAGACTTTTCAGTGTCATTTTTGATTCAGGTATTTACCCAAGCAAGTGGCTAGATGGCAATATAATACCTATTTATAAAAATAAGAGAGACCCAAAAGATCCCAAAAACTACAGACCAATTACCTTGCTTAGCTGTTTTAGTCAATTGTTTACCTCTGTAATTAACAATAGATTAAGTTCCTATGCAGATGCATCACAGATTATTTTGGAAAATCAAGCTAGATTTAGGAAAAAATATTCCACCATTGATCACATTTTCTCACTTCATTCTATTATGCAATTATTATTTAATCAAAAGAAAAAGTGTTATTGTGCATTCATTGACTTTGAGAAAGCGTTTGACACGGTATGGAGAATAGGTTTATGGAACAAGTTACAGGAAAATATGATAGATGGAAAATGTTTTAAAATTATTTTTAATATGTACAATGGAATAAAAGCAAAAAAAGTTAATAATGGTGAATATTCTGAGTCATTTCCCTGTACCATCGGTGTTAGGCAAGGCGAAAATATGTCTTCGTTCTTATTTTCTTTATTTCTGAATGATTTAGAAGGTTATTTAGAGGAAAATGGTGCTGTGGGACTACCCACACTGAGTACAAAGTTTGAAAATGATCTAAACATGTATGTTAAATTGTTTGTATTGTTGTTTGCTGACAACACGATTTTGTTAGGTGAATCTCCTACTGAATTACAGAAGGAACTAGATACCTTTAACAACTATTGTACAAGATGGAAATTAAAAGTTAATGTCGAAAAAACTAAAGAGATGATATTCGGTAAGGGGAGACAACCCCAACACTTAGGTTTTACATATGATGGTAAAACTATAGAAGTTGTAAAGTGGTATAAATATTTAGGAGTTATTTTTTCTAGGAATGAATTGTTTAATCAGAATATAAAAGATCTATATAATAAAGGTATGAAAGCTCTATTTGGAGTCATTGCTAGATGTCGTACTCATAATTTATCAATAGACTGTTAAATTGATCTGTTTGATAAAGTTGTGAAGCCAATATTACTATACGGCTGCGAAGTGTGGGGCTTCTCAAAGTTGAACCTTATTGAACATGTACATATGAAATATTGTAAATATATACTAAATGTATTGAAACATACACCCAACAGTATGGTTTACGGAGAACTTGGGCGATATCTGTTGATTATTAACATTAAAATAAGAATGGCAAATTTTTTGGCCAAAATCAATTATCACGCAAATTGTATTTGTTTTTGAATAATACCAATTCACCATGGATTGAATTTGTAAAGAGTATTTTTAATGAATGTGGATTGTCTTATGTATGGCAAAACCCTATCAATGTAAATATTACTTGGTTAAGAAATGTTTTGCACTCTATTTTATATAGTCAGTTTCAACAATCCTGGGAAAGTAATATGAATATTTCTGTATGTATAAAAATGTACTGAAACTTGAAAGTTATCTAATCAAACTACCTATTAAAAACAGAAGGATCTTTAGAACATGTAACTTCAATCTCCCCATAGAAACTGGAAGACGGAGAAATATACCCAGAAAAGACAGGAAGTGTTTGATATGTGATTCAAATGAAAAAGGGGATGAATTCCATTATATATGTATTTAAATGCTGAAATCCAAAACTGGTACAGTATAGAAATTTATATATTCACCCTCGATATCATAACATACCAAATTGTATTAATTTCTACAACTTGATGAACTGTTGAAGCTTCAGTACATTGCACAACCTACCGTATGTAAATTTCTTACTATTCTTAAAGATAAACTAAACCCTCCTGGGTAACCTGTTGTACATTGTATAGAATGTGTAGGCTATCTATACATTACTGTATAATCACATGTTGTACCTTCTCAACACTTATGTATTCAGTTATGAGAATAAAAAACTGAAATGAACAATCTGCATGAAAAACCAAAATAATATCTGTTGCACCTAGTTTCAGGTAAAAGCATAAAATATCTAGACTACATGTATAGGTATCAATATTGGTACCAATCCAAAATAGAAATCCTTGGTTTGATCTACAACCAACATTGTATAATATGAATGTATTAAAGAAAAAGCTTAA